CATAATTGGGATGGAGACGAACATCAAGCTTTTTTTTATCCCCGCTAAACATGTGAGAGGAGACGTATGCAAAAATTATAATTGTTTTAAAATCTAAAATAGAACAAAGTATCATCAACAATAGCATTACTGGAGTAGGAAATGCAATCACCCTTATCGCGGACACCGGTAATTACACAGTTCCGGCTATCTCGACCACGCTCCGGGGTAGGCAAATTCGATATAAGCGTATATTCTCAATATTTATACTCTTTGATACTGTAGGATATCTAAGGAAAAACCAGCATCATGTTTTAAAACTTATATATTTTAACTAGATTTTGTTAAAATATATAATAATTTTACGTTTATTATAGACTGTTCACAGATGAGATATTTTCCCGCAGTAAAAAGTATCCTATATGTTGACCCGGATAACTAGCTTTTATCATACCAAATTTAATTAAAATATGTCCAGTGGGTTTCTCGTGATACGTTCCCAGACTGACAGGCAGACAGACGGACAAAAATTATAAGAACCATACATTCGGCCTCTGAATCGATAGTAATGTCTATTTCAATAAGATTTCCCAAAAAATATTTAATGTACAGATTCGGCTCAGAAATTGATTATATAAATTTATTAGAAAACACTAATTCTCAACAATTAGTTATTTCTTTTGCTCCTATTAAAAACCACGGAGCGCATCCACCCTGTCAACTCCCCGCCGACTAATTCTCTTTTGTTTTTTTCTTTGTATTTTTTATTGTTTTTTATTTTTTCTGCCAGACCAATCTTGTCATTTTAACTGCCTGACTTACAAAGGTATCATAATTTGTGCGTTCGCGTCGTCAGTGTGGCCAGTATAATAAATTAATAACTGTTTTATTATACATTAAAATATGTACATAATATGTACTATATATAAAGTAAATCGTATATTCTTTTACAAAACTAAAAAGTTTTTAAAAGCTTTTTAAATGTCAGCTTCTAACTATATATTTTGTTAACTTACAGATACTAAATATATACTCTATTTCTTAGTCTCTATCTTTCTGCTTGTCCATTGGTCTGTTCTCCATTTTTATGTTTTGAACCATAGGTAATATATATAAATAATATGCCATATTTTTCTTAGTATCACTAATTGTGACTAATAATAAGTTAGACTTTTGATCATAAAGAGAGTAAAATTTTATCTTTTCGAATTTTTTATCCATTTATTTTGTTATTATTATATATTTTTTGGTTCCCGACGTTTTGAAAAACATATCATAAATATAATATCTAAACGGAACATTCGGTAGGTGAATCCGACTTGCACTTAATTATTATAAATATCAAAGTAATTCAGTCTGTTTGTTTTACTTTTTTTTCTAAACAGATAATATTTCAGTGAAAATTTAGAAGGACATAGATTGGATTATGAGGACGATATAAGTATCTTGTACCCTACTAGCTGAGAATAATTTAAGAATTTTGAGAACCCGCATAGTACACATTATAATAATTAAAATGACGGATAAAAGCTTCATTAAGATAATACTGTTCTTATAATTGCTTATAATTTTTATTAGTTTTAGTATAGATACATAAATATTTAATATTTTTGGGTGTGACATTACTGCTATTATTAAAATAATTAGAGATTAGATGTCATCCGTCAATTGTCATTTAAAATAAAAAGTCGGTAAAGTGCAAGTCGAATTCGCACACGAAGGGTTCCGTACCATCGTACCTATATTTTTTTATTAATATGACTTTTATCCTATGTATGTAGTATATTAACTTTGATGATCGATTACAAACATTAAAAAATATTTCTTGTATATCATTTTTCATTTATATATTCAAAATTTCATATATCCAAAAAGAAAATTTTAACTCTCTACCTATTACGGTTTATGAGATACAGCCCTCTGACAGACGGACGGGCTGACGGACGGAGAGCGGAGGCTTTGTAATAGGGTTTTTAAATTTTATTTGCATTATATCTTTTTTTTATTTATTTCTCTCTCTCAATTTTTTTGGTTTGTATATACTGAATATATTAAAATCGGAATATCAATTCGAAAGAAAAGTATTTTACACTGTTGTACTATATCCTAAACAGCACCTTAACATCGCTTAAAACAAAAATCAAATTACAATTTGGAAATTGTCACCATTTTAGGTTTACCTATATGTCAGGGCAGGACATAAACACACAGCGCCATCTAGTTCCATGGTAAGCTACAAGGCTTGTGTTATGGATGCCAGATAGTTGATACATTATACATATATAACTTTAAATACATACATATTAAAATATAAACACCCATGACTGGAGTATAAACATTCGTGCTCATCACACAAACGAATGCCCCCAGCGGGACTCGAACCCGTGACCGCTGGCGCAGCAAGCACTACAAACTGAGTCAAACGTGTCGTCAAACCTATAGGTACATTATATCACTGTCCCATGACGAGGTGCCGAAATAAAATTATAATTCCGGCGTTGTTTTGGAGAGAGATGCTTTGAGACGCATAAATCAAGATAACTGGGTGTTTGCTGAGAAATCTTTTTTATGACGGCATTAATATTCTAAATTATATTTTATTGTAAGTAAAAGTATTTAGTTAGTTATGTTTTGACTTGTACTTAAATACTACTTAGTCCGCTTCTTATAACAAAATAAAAGCTAAATAAAAAAATGCTACGAGAGATTATGTCATAAGGATTTACATATATTAAATATATATAATAAATAATGTATAGAATTTTTTATAAAATATTTATGTATATTTTTTATGGGACTAAGGGGGCAAACGGGCAGGAGGCTCACATGATGGAAAGTGATCACCGCCGCCCATGGCCATCTGCAACACCACAGGGCTTGCAGATGCGTTGCCGGCCTTTAAGGAAGGAATACGCTCTTTTCTTGAAGGTGGCCAGGTATATAAAATAAAGTCGGGATAGTTACACCATTTATAACTCAAGAACGGCTGGACCGAATTTTATGATCTCTGATTTGTTGGTTTTGAATAAATATTAAAACATCAGAAAAATTTACCAAAACAAAATTAATTTAAATTTATATGGCAACGTTGGCTAATAACTATTTATATCTATTTAAAACGTACCTAGGGAATAACCCAAGCGAAGCGAGAGTGAGCCACTAGTCTATACATATAATTAAATTGTAACCAAGCTGAATCTGTACATTAAATATTTTTTGGAAAATCTTATTCAAATAAACATTATTATCGATACAGAGGCCGAATCTATAGTTTTTAGAATTTTTGCCTGTCTGTCTGCCTGGTACCGTATCACGGAAAACCACTGTAGGGATTTTGATGAAATTTGGTATGGTGATAGCTGATTATACGGGTCAACATATAGGATACTTTTTACCGCGGGAAAACATCTCATTTATACAAAAATGCAATTTAAGAGTATACTAATATGTAAAAATTTGGTTTTTGGTCATCTGCACGCGGGCGGAGCCGCGGGCAATGCTAGTATAGAATAAAAAAAGAGTTTTTGAAAGTAAACAAAATTATTTAGAATCTTTATTTAATGCCTAACAGTCTTTTGTAATAATTTAATCAAACACTAGTTCGTATTTATAACTTAAGGGGTTTTTTAAACTAACGATTTGCAATAACTTCAAGGGCCATCAATTTTGTCGCCCTTCCAAAGCTTACTTTGTTTTTATTTTATCTGTTAAGACCATTTGTCTTTGCGAGACACAATAGAGTTATTAAAATTCTTTAGCCAATGTATGGAATTTTAATTTTACTTAATATGTTCTCTTGAAATGTTATTGGATGGCGTTCTGGAAAATGATAAGTTATATTAAGAATTTCTTGCTTAGAATATATTTTGATTATGGAAATAACTCAGAATAGCAATTTCAGATATTATGAATGTCAGACAACACTGTTTCATAGTTTGCTATACTTGTCTCATAGTTTTCTTACATTCAGTAGTAAAGTCACCTATGCATATACATACATACATATCTTATATCAATTTTATGCATTTTATGCAGCTCTTTGTAACGTCCCACTGCTGGGCACGGACCTCCTTTTAATACAAGGGGGTTTAGGCCATAGTCCACCACGCTAGCCAAGTGCCAGTTGGCTTACCAATTCATCGGACCATTCCGTTGTATCAATTATCAAAGTTGTATTCGAACTCGTGATCTTCGTGCAACTGTGTCAAATATAAACAATAAATATAAACTAGAAAAAATATTAGATAATATTAGATCCTATATCTATTATATCTTTTATTTTTTCTTTATTAAAATAAATTTTACCATTATTACACTTGCAAAAGTTAATTATTGATTCAAATTTACACCCAAATTGTATTGAAATAAAATTTAAAATATTACCAATTGTTATACCAGATTGTAAAACTACGAGCCAAGCTGTAAACTACAGTCACATAAAACAATAAAGAATCGCACAAAGGCACAGCCAAGGTAATATAAAAGAATGCCCTTAATGTGGTAATGCGGTTAGGGACAAACTGACAGACGAACAAATCTTATCAAAGGCAACCCTCCTGTGCAGTCGTGTAAAAAATACCAAACAGAATAATGTTCAGGTATGGGTGCAGTGAGACCTACGTTCCGATTATAACGTGTTCGAAATCGATGAACAGCTCGAAGTCGTAAATTATTAGGAAAAATTGAAAGAGTATTACAAAATTAATACGTATTTAAGATACGATAGAGACAAATGTAGAGACGCACATTCTTAAAGCTCTACACGCCGTTATTACGGCCGTTAAAATTCGTATTCGTTCACTATTCAGTATGTTTTATAACTTATAAACGTTATCGTTTGTTTTAATAATAAAATTTTATTAAATAGATAAAATACAAGTGCCGCGAAAGAAAAAACTTTCACTAACAAAGTCGTACCGTAAGCTCGTAAGCTCCCGCCCCGCGTTAGTCTGCCGGCGGCATCCGACTGGCGTGCACGTATTGCCGCCGAGCTCCGCGAGTGACGAGTGACGAGTGTTAACATGCCCGTGGCCGTGGCTTTTCTTGCCACAGCGGCCCTTGCCCTGGCGGCCACCCCACCAGATCCCTGTTACGAGGATGGACGCCCAAGGCGCTGTATCCCAGATTTCGTTAACGCGGCATTTGGGAATCCAGTGGTTGCTTCTTCCATATGTGGAAGACGAGGGCCTGAACGACTGTGTGATCCCCCAGGAGACCAGAACCCAGAGAACGCATGCCGAGTTTGTGATGCTTCACGACCAGATAAAAGAAACTTACCGACCTATCTGACCGATCTGAACAACCCACACGATGTTACCTGCTGGAGGTCGGCTGCTCTACCACCTGCTTCCTATGATTCCCCTCCCGACAACGTATCCCTCACCTTATCGCTTGGCAAGAAGTACGAGCTGACCTACGTTAGCTTGCAATTCTGTCCAAAAGCGGCACGTCCTGACTCCGTAGCTATATACAAGAGCGCAGATTACGGGGTCACTTGGCAACCTTTCCAATTCTATTCGAGCCAATGTAGGCGAGTGTATGGTCGTCCCAATAAAGCGACGGTGACAGCCGCGAACGAGCAGGAAGCAAGGTGTTCAGATTCGCACCGACTAGCCGGGGAGAGTTCTGGAGGTTCTAGACTGGCGTTTAGTACCTTAGAAGGACGTCCCAGCGCGGCTAATTTCGACATATCTCCTGTATTGCAAGACTGGGTTACAGCGACCGATGTGAGGGTTGTTTTTAACCGATTGCATATGGTGAATGAGGGTGATGAAGTTGACAGCAAGAAGCAGGCGGCTGCAGGAACCCAACATTATGCAGTATCGGATTTTGCGGTGGGGGGTCGATGTAAGTGCAACGGACACGCGTCCAGGTGTATCCCGGCTAAGGGCGAGGAGAGTCAGGGGGTCCAGCTGGCATGTGACTGTAAACACAACACCGCGGGAAGGGATTGCGAGAGATGCAAGCCGTTCCACTTCGACAGACCGTGGGGACGAGCGACGGCGCGAGACGCCAATGAATGCAAAGGTTTGTCAATTTGTCCTTTTCATTTAATTTATTAGCCTAATATAGATTAGATAAGTAATGGACCACAATTCTCTTATCACTTTAATGTAAGTTATTATAAATCTGTCGTCGGTTATCTGGACTTCGTATTTATTCACTTTTGAGAAGATAAATAAGTACATTACGCTATCTGCTATCAAAACAAAAGTTTTTGTCATCGGACCGTCGTAAATCAAATATTTAAAAGTTAAAACAACTCGAGTTAGAGTCAACAAGGAAATAATTTCATATTTTTATGCACTTATGTAGTAAGCTATTGTAAAAAGTAGTTAAATTATTTTTGTTAGTAATTTAAAATTCACACTTGCATATTTTTTTATGTAAAATAAAAAAAAACGACAATCCGTATTTAATATACAAAAATCCTAATGATATGATGTAAAGTAAAAATATATCATTATTATGTTAATACATTTATAAATGAAAATTATTATGAAAATTTGTGAAAATAAAAAGAACTACTTGAGCAGTGGTAGCGTTGCACTTATTGTTGACTTGATTTAAAAATAGGGGTACTAGGGTCATACATACAGAATAGAGCGTAAGTTTGCAGATTATAGTTTAAACAAAACTTTAAAAAAATATATATTAAAACTCTATTCTCTCATCTCTAGGTACGTTTTAATGGTTAGTATGGAATAGATAGACTATATATTATATAGTATATAGCCTTCCTCAATAAACGGGCTATTTAATGCAAAAAGAATTTTTCAAATCGGATTAGTAGTTCCTGAGATTAGCGCTTTCAAACAAACAAACAAATTCTGCCTCTTTATAATATAAGTACAGATTAGAATCAAAGAGCGAAAATAATCTCCATATAATATTTAAAATATAGACATTTGTCTGAAAAATGCATATGTTAATAGCTAATTAAATTAAGTTAAATTCAAAATACACTCATATAAGTTATGAATACTTTCACTATACTATTAATCTCTAATATATAAATATCTCGTGTCACGGTGTTTGTGGTCGCACTCCTCGAAACGGCTCGACCGATTTTAATGTGTTTTTTGTATATTTGGTGGGTATGAGAATAGGTCGTAAAGTATTTTCACCCTCCTACCCCCATCCCCTATTTTTTAATTGCGATTTTAGTATGAACAATATTATATAATGATGTTCTCCTGACCGATTCCGGCCACGGCAGCCAATCTCATTGAGACTAGCCAACTGCGCAGGAGATATTATAGTGCACAAGTGTACGCGCAGACACAACGTGCACTGTCTATTCCTCAATATTATATAAATACATAGCGACAAACGAGTGAAGCGAGGGTGAGTCGCTGTATAAAAATATCGTATCGTGTGTTGAGCCGCTGTATGACATAAAGGCAAAGAGTTTTGTAAATTGAACGCGGGCGTAGCCGCGGGTTCGCTAGTTATACTACATACAAATGTAGCACTATATACACACACACACAATTTCCGAATGCTAGGGACGCCCTAAACAAGCAAAATGAAAGATAAATCACGTTTATCTTAGACTAATTAGAATTTATTCGCGCGTTTCAGTTTGATAAAATTTAATGGTAACAATTAACAAATTAAATTTATGTACAGACGGCAAAGCTTATTTTGGTTTAGCCAATAGCATAGTGGTTACAGAACTGACTTTTGCATCAATAGTTCGGGTTCGATCTCTATTCACAGCAAATTAGTTTTAAGAACTCATGATATGGATTTAAGCCTATTTGTATGTGTATTTTAAGATCATAAAAAGATGGTACTCGACGTTAAACGTAGTGTGTTTAAGTCCCAACATTTTAAATAGTACTTAAATGTAAAATCTAATTATATTTTAGTTCTTCCTGTTTTTTTTTTAAATTCGAATTGTAATCTTTTTAAATTTTTGTGTATTGTTTTAATTGTGTTAGTGTATTTTGTTATTTATTTAATTTAATATTATATAATAGTAATTTATTATTGTAATATAGATATAATGTAAACATTCTATAAAATCTCCAAATTTGCATGTGGTATTCACCTTAAAAGGTAGTGCAATCTATACATATAATAAAATCTTATAATAAAATTGTAACTAAGCCGAATCTGTACATTTAATATTTTTTGGAAAATCTTATTGAAGTAAACATTATTATCGATACAGAGACCGAATCTATAGTTTTTAGTCTGTCTGTCTGTCTGTCTGTCTGTCTGTTACCGCATCATGGGAAAACCACTGGATACATTTTGATGAAATTTGGTATGATGATAGCTGGTTATTTTTTTTTTTTTTTATGTCGGGAAATGTATTTACGCATACCACCTGATCCCCCAGGTGGTGATGTGGGGCTCACCGGCTAGAAGAGCCGGTACTACCCACTAAAACCCGACATTCCCCTCCCCTCCGCCTTAATGGGACGCCGCAGGATCGCTTGCGCATAACTACTACGGCGCCCCGGCGGCAGGTCTGCCTAAGCGCTAGGCAGACCACCAAACCAATGGGGCTGCTCCACAGTCAACTCTGCTACGCCAGAGAGGTACCCGGAGCAGCCCCATTAAACCTAACCACCGCCCACCGAAGTGGGCCACCTCCAATCGGCTGCAGAGGACAGGGAGAGCGGCAACGAAACACCGACACTCCTCTTCCCCTGCAGCCCCACCGCGTCCGCCATCAAACGGTGGCGGCCCCGTCTAGGCCGCGGAAGGGAGGGAGAACGGCGCACCGAAATACCGGCACTCCTCTCCCGCCGCGGCCTACTCCTCCGCCGGATGCGGGCCTGCGACCACAGTCCCGCAACCGGCACCCATCATCCGGTTGTGGGACCAAGCGGTCCCACCACCGGTGGCCGCAACGTCTTCGGCTCGAGTCCTAGACGAGCGGCCCCACCCAAGCCATTTGGTCCGCGCCGGATTTCTCCGGTACCACCCGCCGCCCTAAGCGGGTGGCATTCCCCTATCCGCCACCTGGGGACGCGCCCGGTAGGAGTTGGCTTCTCTCCCGGGATAGCTGGTTATCCGGGTCATATATAGGATACTTTTTACGGCGGGAAAATGTCTCATTTCTGAGAAAAAATATAAAAACTGCAATGGAAGAGTATACTAATATGTAAAACATAAGAATTTGGTTTCTGGTCATCAGAACGCGGGCGTAGCCGCGGGCAATGCTAGTTAGATATAAGAACTTAAAAAAATTGTACTCGTATATAGTAAATTGTATTATTGTTACTAACCACTGGTGAATCTAATAAATAAATAAAAAAAATAATAAATAAATATAGAGCTTTCCTGTGAAAGCTTTTATAAGGAAACGTTTTCAGAAAAAAAAGTGAAAAGATAACAAACAAAAATATGCTACAATATTCCTATATGTGAGGATTACAAGAAGAGTGTAGTATAGTATATATAGATGCGTGGAGTAGAGCTAGTTGGTTAGGGAGGCGATTGTCAAAATGACATTTAATTTATGTTTATGATTAAGTAAAAAAGCGAATTTTAATGGACTTTTTTCTGTTAAAATAATATTGGTTAAATTAATACATAAAAAAGCTTTCAAAAATAAATAATTGATATAGGTAATATGTATATGATTTATCGATTTGATAGAAACTTCATTCTAGAGCGTATAATGTAAATATAAATAAATATATTTACAATTATTCCTTGTCAGATTAACTCTACGTAAGAATTGTAATTAAGAATGTGTTCATAAAATATGTAATTTTTATTACGGGGGCGACATAATCACTGAGTGATAAAGCTCCTTTAAATAAAGAGAAAAAAAAAAACTCTACGTAAGAAATGACTGTCTGCTATAGATATTACTTCCTTAAATTTACGCGAATATTTGACATTTTAAATAAAAATTGTCATGGTCACGAGAGAGCAGCGCTGTGAAACATTCGAAACGTCGGAAACTGAAAAGAAATATAAATCCGCGAAAAAATCCAAAAAGTATTTAAAATGTCTGATGTATGATATAGTTACTTTTTTATTTAGGAATTTCATGAAAATTTTACAATAAGTACAATAAAATTAGTTAAAAATAGTCAGTTAGTTAAGTTTTGTTCATAGTAAAGTCAGCATTCCAAGCCGGTGGCAGGGTTATAAAGTTTTAAAAGAGCTTGTGAAAAGCCCACTTAAATAAATCTTATGAGTTAAGTCGAGTCATCAAAAACCAGACGAGCGATTATAGATGAATTTTATAGCATGCCCATTCCAACCTATGCTGATACTTAACTAACTTTAAAAGTTAAATCATTGTTAGACGAGTTGTGCTGTAATGTGTCTGGAATCGACTAATTCAGCGAAAAAAGCTAGTTCGATTTCCGTCCAAGCACTGTAGTGTATTTTTGCCATACGAAGTTGCTAGTTTTTAAATGAAAAGAAAGAACGTAAGATATGACTACGTTTCCTCTGCTTATTTTGAAAGTAAATATGGAAATAATTTAAAAAAGAATCTATAAATAGAAATCAATCGTATGTGTTTATGATTGTGTAATAATACTTAAATATTGTTGTGTAGAAATAATTGTTCGAACACTATTCACATCTATAGTTTGTGCTATAATTATCTATTATGAATAAAAAACCTTCTGTATACAATACAACACACAGTACCATAATAGATTGTTATATAGTTGAATATTAAAATTCTTACAATGTGCAAAAGCGTGTTTTTGTGCTAGTTTGTTTTTTATCCTTCTTTAGCTATTTGTGGTATTACAAGTTTGGCTATCGTATGTTACCATTTCTTATTGTTCAATGTTATCAGGACAGACAAAATATTATGAATATGTGTAATACGACATTTCACTTTACGTAAGAAATACGTGACCGACGGCAGCTTATTTTAAAGAAAAAGCTATCCTAAAATAAATTTATTTAACAAATTAAATCATCTTATTATGTAGCCAGAATAGAAAACAATCTATCTAAAGTCTAAATATCTAATTCAATGTATTTTTTTGAATATATTCCTTTGCTCAGCCGTGGGAATCGAATCCGCGAAATCCGATATGTTGCACTGTGCCAATTAACATATCTCCATGATAACAGTATTTTACAGTATTGTAATCAGTTATTTATTAGCTTCTTGTATGCGGGCTAATTCTAAAACAATGTTTCTGAGTAATATAAGTTATTTTTATTGGCACATAACGCGACCGATGCCGTGGGCGATCACTAGTCTAATTATAAAATTAGTATAATTTATTCTTCGAAGTAATTTCTCATTGGAATGCCTGAACCTCTTACGTCGTCTGAATCTCAAATCTAGTATTCAAATATACTAACAAAATACTGTAATTATTGTATCCACACTGCACAAAAAGTTAATGTGAAAACAGATTTAAGTGCAGGTTTGATTCTCATTATACTAATAAATAGCTGAATGTCTACAGTCTACACCCATCATTACTGCCATTATGACATCCGCTTGGCATTATTTAACTAGAAGAATTAAATCGTACCTAGGACTCTATTTTGGCCATTATATTTTTATGTATGAGATTTTTAAGAACATGCTGCCAAAGATATATGTAGATTTTTGATGAGGATAAAATTGTAAAATATATATTTTTTAATCGAAGTTAATAATCACTATATTATATTCTCAGTATCTACTGTACAAATTTTCATACGGTTATCAATATGAAGAGGTATTCCCCAGGGAGGTCTTGTGCTATAATTTATGCTATAATATACTACCGGTATGATGCAATTTATGTCTTAAGTCAGAATGAAATTGTTTTTTTAGTCACCAGTAAATGGATTCGAAGAGAAAAGTTGTAATTCTTTATTTCATGATGCATACCTCAATTTAGACAATAACGATATGCAACGCAGCGCTTTATCATAATCATCAACTTATAAATTTATTTGTTCAAAATAAGCATCGTGTGGGCATCAAACCTGCACTATCCATTGTAATGATATCAGCCAGAGATATGTCAAAAAGCATCACATTGTATAACATAAACATATCTTTTCATTGATAATATCTATATTATTTACAAAGATTCCAACAATTTGTTAGATTTTAAAATTATCATTTGGATTCATGACCCAGATGCGAGACCACCGTCGACTTGACACATCCACGCCCACTGGTCCAATATTTTCAACCAAAGTTCTTGCCCACACGACAATTATCTAAACAACTCCTAAAATGCAACTGCAGATGGACCATTCCTTTTATAGAGACAGGAGCTTAAAGCTTTTAGCTAATTTTATTCAAATTGGAAGCGTTAAGATAAGAGCTTTTTAAACGTTTATTAGTTAACTTCCATAACGAGATTTGGGAAAAAATCTAAGATAAAGTAGCTGTGATTTCTTTTTATTTTTAAATTGTATTTCCCGTTAAACTTAAAACGTAGCATAAATTTTGATGGTCTAAATTAGTCTGGACAATATATATATATATATATACATATATTATTTGAATCTGGAGTACAATCGAAAACTTAAAAGCTAAATATAGCGCCTCTTATCTAGACAGTAGTCAATTTCTTCCCATCACAATATAAAATATGTTTTTTTTTTAAAATGACTAATATATCTTTCCCAAGAGAGCTGGTTTCCTTTAACAAACTGTTAGTCTGTAATTCTTCGGATGTTTAGTTCGGAAATCCTCGGGGGATTTGTTAGACACATTAACTCCCTATACTCATTAGTAGCATGGCGACCGAGCTTCCCCCGAAGTTCTTCGGGATGA